AAAACATTTAAATAAATACATAAAAAGAAGAAAACCAACTATAAATGACGGCCTAAGAAGAAAATAATAACATACAGAATATTCTGCAAAAAGACGAATACATGTGTTTCTTATGTAAGTAGGCTGTTTTACCTTTGCGCTGTCTGTTTGTATATTTGGTTTTTGCTCACATAAATTTGTATTCGTCTTTTTGCAGAATATTCTGCAAATATGTAATTTGATTTTTGTAAATTAATTTGATTATTTCAGTGACAAAACTCCAAAGGGTCAAGCACCTACGTTTTTGAAAAAAATCGGTGACATTGAAGTGTATGAAGGCATGAAAGCAAGATTCACTGGTAAGTAGTTTGTACAAAAATGGCAAATGCAATGTAAAAAATATTCCATCAAAAAGAATAATTAAAAAATGGTAAAAAGAGTACTCGAAGCCGTTGAATCAAAGAGTGCGCGATTTGTTCTTTACTTCATGACTGAATTTTTAAAACGCTCATTTTGTACGGTACACAAAACCCGACGCTTTTTCATTACCTTTTTAGTTAGGGTAGATTTCATTTTCAAAAATTCGATCGGATATTATTCGTGTAGGAGAGTCAAGCGATTACAGGGTGAGATAGACAATAAAATCGAACCACCCAATTCCATATGGCTGTGTTTTTTAGCTTATGCTTCTACGTGTCTATTCGTTTAAACTAAGCTTCGCTATGTGTTATTTAGCTAATTCATGAGTTAGACTAGGTTGAATTAAAATGCGAATTGTGTATTTCTTGTGAACATTTTCAAAATTAAAACCAGAAAATTGATACTGAGTCACATGAACAAAAATACGCTTATTTGTTATTATATTATTGATTAAATCATCTCCAACATTCTGTTGTACATTTTTACCATGAACCGTTCGTTTTACACTTTTTCTGTCGTCGTGGTGCAAATGGCACCAGCTTTTGGCATGCTAGGCCATCTATTGAAAAAAATTGGTAAAACACATAAACTTACATCTTACAGAATTTTAGCCACACGAATACAGATTTTAACGGTATACTTTATGTGTAAATTTAGGAAAATATACAAAAAGGAAAAGGGAGGTATAAATTAAAGCGATTAAGTGTATAATATTGCGAAATTAAAAAAATATAACACTTGCAACACGATGCAAACTACCATCTTTTTTATTCCTGGCTAGGTTGTGCGACTGGCTACCCTGAACCTGAAGTTGAGTGGTTCCTCAATGGAGATCGAATTTATCCAAATGACCGAACACAGATAGAAGCCGAACCTAATGGTGTGATTTAAATGATATTCGATTTAAAAAAAAAATCAAGATTACAAATTATAGGTTTTATTTTTAAATTATCTTTTTTTAGGTTTGCTTCGCCTCACAATACATAACTGTACACAGGCTGATGTTGGAAAATATACTTGCCGAATTTACAACACGCATGGAGAAGATATATGCCATGCTGAATTGGTTTATGACAGTAAGTTCTGACTCTAAATTAAATGAGTAAACATTTGATGTAATATTGCTGTACATAATGTCTTATAGCGTTTGAACCAAGAAATAAGACGGCAATAGGTGATCTTTATTCAGACTTTGATAAATATAAGAAAACTGGAGCTCCAACTCCATTGGCCGACCGTCCAATCATTACAAAAATGTCGGATCGTCGTCTGACGCTTTGTTGGAAACCATCAGTTTCCGTAGCACCTCGTATTCCAGTGACCTATCAAGTAGAGATGTTGGAATTACCAGAAGGTGATTGGGTTACTGTACGAACAGGAGTTCGTAGCTGTACATGCGAAGTACGCAATTTGGTGCCTTTCAAAGATTATCGTTTCCGCATTCGTGTTGAAAATCAATACGGCGTAAGTGACCCAAGCCCATATGTACAGACTTATCGCCACAAATTGGAGCCACCAGCACCACATGTTTACACATACTTGGACTCAAATACTGACTTTAGACCAGATCAATCACCATACTTTCCGAAAGATTTTGACATTGAACGTCCACCTCATGATGGCTACGCACAAGCTCCAGTGTATGTTAAATATTTTATAGTATCTTTATAAAAACAAAACAAAAATTCGATGTGTGATTGCTTTAATTTAATCACATTTATTTAGGTTCTTACGTCGCGAACATGACATTACGTATGGAACAAAGAATCATAATGTGGACTTAATGTGGTTTGTTTACGGTTATCCAAAACCGAAAATGACCTACTATTTCAATGATCAAATTATTGAACCGGGTGGCCGTTTCGACTTTAGCTATACACGCAATGGCCAAGCGACTTTGTTTGTCAACAAGTAAGTGTTTTTTTTTTTGTCGAAAGAACATTGCAACAAATTTTAATTAGACACATATGGAATCATCCATAAATTTTGTTGCATAGTTTCGCATATATCTTTAAAAAAAAAAGCTGGCTAACATTTATTATGATAACTAATTTTGAATCTAGTGTCATATTGCATACATTACCCAGTTAGTAGACCATATACAGAGCTGGGCACGAACAGTCGTTCGTTCGTTCGTCCGGACGTTCGGCGCAAAAATTGTCAAGTCGAGTTAACAATTTTCTGTTAGATTTTTTGAAATTTACAAAAAATAATAATAATTAAATATGGACTATTGTTTGAGTTTTCAACATCAATTTGATATTTAACACTTTTGATTTCATCTAAAAATATCATTCTATACACAATTCTATGCAGAATTTGATTGTGATTCATTTCACACTTTTCAAAAGAAAGAAATTTCCAAAAATATATTATTATTTTCCATTTTTCCGTCGTAACATCGAAAATTCCAAATGTCGAATATTCATCGTCCAATTGAATGGGTAAGAAAAATCATGAGCTCCAAAAAATCTGATACTTGAAAGATATTGAATATAAAAGTGGTATGTATCAAATTTATTTTCAATTCTGGCTAGTATCTCATTTATTTTAACTCATTTGTGCATTATACCGAGTCTCCGAGAGTTTCATATAAGCCTTCCCATGTAGATGGTAAAAAATCGTGAAAAATGAAAAAAAATTATTAAATTTTTTTTCTTCGATTTACAAATACTATTCAATTTTCTGTACCATCTGGTGAAATCAGAATGAAAAAAATCGCATTCCCTATCACCCAAATCACGATTGGCATTCGGTCACTATTCAATAGGT